TATTTTTTTTGTGAATACTGATGCAAACCCTTGAAGCAGTTCTCTTTAAGTTTATGTATTGAAAATAAGATGTTTTATTCAATGCATGTAAATTTATATAAAATAATATTCATTGTGATGATATTGTATTAACAGAACTCCAAAAAGAGTTTTGCCATTGTACATACGCTTGGGGAATTGAACATTTGCCCACACTCAAGGGGCAAACCACCAGACTAGCCTTCAAAAATATCAATCCTTCAAATCCCAATATCATTCTAAAACTTTAAACATGAAGCACTGCACTTACCTGGCCTACGCCTATTACATACCATTAGTACAAACCATATACAAAAGTGCGTTCCTCCATACATGAAATTTTCAGAAAAGCCTTTTTTCTATTTCCCAACAACACCCGGAACATGTTTATGAGGACCGGCCTCGTTTGGCATCCGCTGTAGCAACTTCCAAGTCCCCAATGAAGAAAAGGATTTTGTCAAGAATCCCTCGACAGGATTCCTCCGCTAAAGATCCATCCGGCATTAACTTTGGTTTGGAACTTGAAGGAAGATCATTCACCGATTTTCTCTTTCTTGAACCCAAATAACGCCGGATCTCACCTTGATGAATAAGAAAGTAATCACCACCTTCTCTAATTATCTTCAGACCGCTGGAAACATAAACAAGAGGGAGAACAACTATCAAAACATGTTTGTCCAAGTGCCCAGCATTTGCTGCAACAGTTATTGTCTCCACATTTTATTCATTAATTTAGCTTTTGCAGCAATCAATCATAAATCATAAGACATAAGAATACGCAATCAGTCCAACTATATAACTTACAGTCCAACCCGGTCACAACGATCTTGTGTCTCGTACACATCTTTCCATGATTTTGAACCTGTGGGAGTAAAGAACATGGCTTGATCATCTCCCCATCTCTCTTTGAACAGTTTAGACCACAGTATGTTATCTGATGCCAAGACCTTCCACTTCCTGCAAACTTCAAAACATCAAACAGCAATGTTATCCCATGTATTCAAATTAGATAATTACAGATAACATAATACAGTTGAAGCAACTAATCTTTCTGAATGCTTCAGCAGCAATTAATTAAGCTGTGAGATTCAGTACATAACATATATAATCCAAATTGAAGAGGCAACCCATTTCATATCCAACTGTTGCTTGAATCAAAAGACTTGAAACAAATTTCATTTTCCTCCATGCGGTTTTGCTGCCCTGCTGACCCCGATTCATTCTCCTAGCACGACAATATATATGGATATACCAAAAACTAACCATTGACCAAAGGAATGAGCATGTATAAAAAGTATGAGCACCATACACATACAATTAGCATTGCAGATTTTGCAATTTCTTCACCAGTTTCATATGGGAGAAAAAAAAATTACAATCCAGGAAAATTCTACCAATTCTCAAATAGGTTCATCATATGCAAAGATCAAACCATAGGAAGGAATAAAGAAGCAACAGATCCAAGAGAGTTTCATATACAATCCCAAGTTCTTCACATAGGTTGAATTAGAAATCTCGCCATAGATCCAGAATTAACATAGGACAACAAAATTCAAGAAACCCACATCGACCCTTCTCAAGAGAACGAAAGAAAAGCACAAATTCGTATAAAAGAAACGAAAATTTTCAATAAAATTCATGAAACAGAGGTAAGAAGGTCACATTATGAATAAACAATTTAACAGAAAAAAAAAAAAAAAACCCTATGAATTTTCAGGGCAATGTTAAATGCTGACCTTGTTGGGCAGCAGCGAGATTCTGGTGATCCAAGAAACGGAAGATGTTAAGACAGACATCGCCTGGAAGCGTCTCCATGTTTTCTGCTGGGCTAAAGAGCAGAGGAAAAACAGATCGCCTTTTTGGCTTTGCTTTTGTAAGGAAAAAAAAAAGAAAAAAAAGAAAAACATTTCCTCAAAAGTACTGTAATCAGAGGTTAGATCCTCCCACGTGCTTTTGGATTTACTTTTACCGCCAAAATCCTTTTTCTGATTATTATTTTTTACCGCACGGATGATTGGG